AAAAAAATATCAGTATTCTTCAAGATAAAATTATATTTTTTTGTAAAAATGTCACAATAATAGCTAATTTATAAACATTATAATATAAAGAAGGTTATATAGAAATAACTTGTCACTAGATAACCTCTAATTGGGAACTGTATAAAATAACACTTTGTTGTAAAAAATTGCCACATCTTCATATGAAAGAATCTATTTACCAATTTATTATTAATAAATATATTCAATTTAACCTTCAAGAAAAAATTGCATATGCTGTTTCAGACAATGGTACTAATATGGTAAAGGCAATTCAAAATTGGAATTCTGTTGAACAAATTCCATGTGCAGCACATACTTTGCAGTTAACAGTTAATTTTGTTTTACAGAAAGTTTATCTGTATATAAAAAAAATAAAAAACTTGTTAAATTTTTTGTTTCCTCAAAACAATATGAAAAATTAAAAAAAACCCAAATTGTCATAGCAGAAAAAAATTATCTATCTATGCTTAAATCAACTGAAGCATATAGTAAGATAAAGAATCTAGTGAAATCGATAATGAAAATTCAACTAAATATCAAAGTATAAATTTAGCTTTTCAAGCACTTCAAGTAGTTAAGGATTATTCTATAAATTGGAATTCAAAATACTGATCAATAAAAAGACTAATAAAACTAAAGGATGCAATTATATAGTTAGAAGCTAATCTAAATATTTTATAAAAATTTAGATGAAAGAAAAAATAGTCAAAAACTTAAACAGTATTTAACAAATAAGAATAAATAGAAGTTGGTTAAAGAGTTAACTAAAATTTTTGAGTCATTTAATCAGACAACAAAAGCATTTAGTACTGAAAAATATCTTATTTTGTCTGTTTTATATCTAGTTATTGAAGTTTTGAAATCTAAATTTAATTCAAATTTATCTATAATTGAATTAGATACTGATAAATGTGAATTTAAATGTTTGACAAATTAATTCTTATCACTAATATTCTAATATTAATAAAATTACTTAGCATTATGTGTATGTCTGTTCAATTTAAATCAAAAATGCTATTAGCAAACAAAATATTACTGTGTTAATTGTTACTTAAAAATGTTTGTGTTCTTGATTTAATTTTACTTTAAATATAGCTATATTAATTTTTATACTTTATACATATAATTTAATATAATAGATGAATAAATACAATATATAATATATATAAGTGTATATATATAAAATTATAATAATCAAATAATTCTAATTAAATACAGCATATTAAACTGTATCAGTATTTGATAAAACCTTTTTTCACAATCAAATTTATCTAATATAAGGCTGAACTAAATAATAAATAAGGTTAGTCTAATTTATATTATTCTTTTCTAGATTCTGATTAAGCATGTTTAATAATTAATATTGTAAATCTCAATAATTGTTCAAGTTGATCAAAAATACCAGTTTTAATTACTTCATAGATATTACATTTCATCAACAATTATTTACTAACAAGTTCATTTTACTAAAGCTCATTTGCAAACAAAATAGTTTTAGTTATTGTTATTAAAGTTAGGTTAAAATTAGAATTAAAGTTAGTATAATTTATAAAAAAAATTTGTTAGTGAAATGAGTTTCATTGAAATAACTAGTTGGTAAAATGAATTTGTTAATGAAAATTGTTGATAAATACAGTGTTTATAAAATGATTGATAGCAAAATAATATGAATCTAAAAAGATAGCTAAGTAGTAATATAAATACTAACATGCATCAAGTACCAACCAACCAATGTGAATGCCTAATAAGAAGATGAAAATCAACATCACAAAGAAAGGTAATCAAAGTTTAGATATAACATTATATTAGCTTTTAGATTTGGTAATCATAAAATAATTGTTAATCCAAGCAAGTTTAACTAAGTAAAGCTAAGTATGGTAGCAATATACAATGAAAACATGTATGTATATCTAGTGTTTAACTGCATTGTAATATTCTATTTGTGATCCTATCTCACCCACCTACAATAAAAAAAAAAAAACTAGAAAACATGAACAATGCCACAAACATAATTAGTAGAAAGAGCTTAAATTCTGCTATTTTTGTAATATCTGCTTATGTTCTTTTGTTAGTTGACCTGATCTATGCAGGTAGGAAACTACTGACTGATGCTATGTCATACTGCATCTGCTACCTATGGAATACTTGCTGCAATCTCAATTGTTACATATCCTATTTCAATAATAGTGTACATCGATAGCAACTAATATATGTTTTTTTAAAATATAAATTTAAGACATGAAGTTATTGAATATACATTCTTTAAATAAATTCAATTTTGATGCATATAATCAGATTAATTTCAACATATCACATGTGTATAGTACTTTTTGTGCACTATATATACATAACTTGCTTTTTTTTACTATTACAAAACCTTTATATTTAATGCATTCTTAAGCCAAAATTCATAATTAATGCTAATTATAAGAAATAAAAAAAATAAATAGGATATAGTATTGTACTTATCATGCTTAATTTTTAATTAATTTTAATAATCAATAGTAAATTATTTTAATAATCAATAGTAAATTATTTTAATAAATTTAATTATTATAATTATAAGAAATAAGATATATGAATATAAATATTATGTGATGTTTAGAAATAAAAGCTTAAACATAAAGAATTAGATCTGCTTTAAATTTTTAGCACCTGTAAAATATGTACATTGATATTAAAAAAAATTTAGGTTCTCTTATATATTATATCTAGAGATAGGACATTGTGCAGGCAGAATTTTTCAGAAGTCTAGAATTTTTCATAATGCTGCAGAATTTAACAATTTTGATCTGCATTAGCCATAATGCAGGCCTGTACAAGCTGCACAGTCTGTGCAGTAGATTTGAAAAATTTTCAATTTTCCTATTTTTAATTATGCCATATCCATTTCTATATCCAATATCTATATGAAATTATCTAAAGTAAGGATATCTAAATAAAGAGGGCACTAGTGATGTCTATTCACACTTGTATATTATTTAAATATTAGTCTTATCTACTACTATACACATATTAATTAGGTTAATAATTTATTTTATTTTTTTTATAATCTGATACTGATACAAGTAATTATAGTGAAAGTAATGATTATAATAGTAAAAGTAATAATAACAATATTCAGCTACCAAGAACTCTTTATATTCAATCTGTAATTTTACAGGTTAAGAAAGAAATATATAATTCTCTTCAGAAGTATTAAGAAAATCTAAGATTTTTTAACAACACTATTGGATCCATAACTTAAACAAATACATTCTTGCCTTAACTACATATGAGAAAAAACCATCAGACTATGCTGTGAAGAACTTAATAACATTATCAGTAATAGACCTTTATTAACCATTTCTCCTCTACATATCACTACTTCTTCAACCAACTGATATTTTGCCTCAATCTTTCAAGATGACTACAATAATAATGATTTGACAGATAATGAACTAGACAAATACATAGATATTAAAAGAGTACCTCTTGTGTCATAAGATTTTTCACCTTTAGAATAATGAAAAAAACATAAGAAAGACTTTCCAAAATTAAGCCAATTGGCAAGAAAATATTTAGCAATACCAGCTACTTTAATACCAAGTGAGTGTCTATTTTCTGATGCCAGAAATCAAATAACTCCAAAGCAGGCTTGTCTTATTTCAGAAACTGTTTCTCAAATATTATTTTTAAAAAGAAACAGTTATTTAGTTAATATTGTATAAATTAAACTTTATATGATTAATAAATATATATTAAATTCAAATATATAACATTTAGTTAGTTGAATAAAGTATTTAAATAGAACAAAGAAAAAATAATTTAGTAATTGAAATGTTATCAATTTTCATAAAGCCGGAAATACGGATAAAATATCAATTAATTTTCGATCTTAATATTAATGTTTTTTTTTTTTGTTACAGTTCTTTTAATAAAAAGGTTTTAACATGTGTCGAAAGCCTATAGTTACTAAGAGCATATCCTGATATCTTGTCTGGTCTTTAACCAGCCCAATATGATTAATTATATAATATACTCTGGCTAATCTAAAAGCTCCACATTCATTATGCATATATAACTGGCAAAGATTATTAACAAAATTGCAATTATGGAACTGCGATGTAAATTCGTTATATGGTTAGAAATTTAATAATAAAATCAATAAGTAGGCTGGCCAAAATATCCATTATACATAATATAGCTCTTTTAATATCGAATCTGTTATAACCATTTTAAATAACCTATTATAGCTGTTCTCATAAATTTTGTGCCAATTGCTCATTAGGCTATACAAATTTAATAAATTGGTTCTTATAACCTGGCAAGGTCAAAATCTGCAGACCTTTGAAAAAAAATTTTGACTATATTTCAGAAATCTGTAAAAAAATTTTATATGTTTTTTATATATAAAATTTTTTAAAATAAAATTAAAAGCCAGGTTGCCGGGTCATTTTTTTAAAATATTATGTTATGATAACCAAAAAATTAACTTTGTATGGCCTTATCTAAAATCTTTTCGAGAATAGCTGTAAAAATTAATATTTTGAATTTGATTCGTTAAACTGTTAAAGCCAGTATATACTGATAATTAACTGTATATATGCGTGTACAAAATATAGGTTGTATGATTTCTTTTGCTACATAACTATTAACTATTTATGTAAAATATTTTATTGTTTATTAAAAAACGCTAGATTTTATGGGTTTGCAGTCTAATTAACTGTAAAAAAAAAAACTAAAACTACTTATAGCAAATACAAGTTTTCTTTTTAGCTATAAAGAGGAAGGATGTTTATTTTATTTCTTTCATATAAGTAGATTTGACTTCTTTATAATAATAACAATGCATAATTTTCATATCTATATAAATTAACCAGATTAACCGGTTAAGTATAATTTATTCCGGAATAAGATTAAATATCGGTTTTCGGATTATCGGATAAACGGGTACAACCTTTAGTTCAAACAGATAAAATGCAGGAACAGATGACGTTATGCGCGGAGGTTTGTTCTCTTATTTTTCCTGTGACATTTTAATATCTCTATTTTTTTTTGAGAAATAATTTTATTTCATATTTAGGAAATACCACAAGATGAATTGAACTAGGCGCTAATGATAAAATTATTCAAGTATTTCATTTTACTAAGGAACCGCTACGCACGCATAGAATTCCATTTAAATTTGTTATTAAGGCTGTTAGTATCTTAAATGTTAATTCATGTATTCTCTTGTGTTTATGCTTGTTATGACTTTAATGTTTTATATAATTTAGGGTGAGCCCTTCTCTGCGACAAAGGTGCGCCTTCAATTACGCTTAGGAATGAACGAAAAAGATTTCTCGAAGGTGAAATTTGCAATTGTACAAGCGGTATCATTGCCAAGCCTCAATATATAGAGTATAATAGTATGTATACTCATTTTTTGGTTTTATTTTGAAATTTTTAAATTGCTGAAAAATACCATTACCCGCATTCTATAGATGTTATTCTATCGGATTATGGATTAACAGATGAGCTCTTAGGTCTTGATCATGTGGATAAAACGGGACGTATGGGAAGAGTAGGGGGTGAAAAGGCGATATATATTAATGGATAATATATTTAGTACAATCAACTTTAAATACTTGACTTCGAAATGCAATTTAATTTTTTCAACTTTAAAGTTCTTTTTGTTTTATATAAAGCCATGCGAATTTATTCTTTCCAAATACAATCTCTCTCAAAATTCTATTCTATTTTATTTTCAAATACCTAATAAGTTGCACTTGATGAAGTCGTCCGTTTTTCTTCAGATTACACATGGTGTGATTGTTATAGTGTTATAATTATTCATCTAATATATATAGTATATTAAATTTCCAATATACTACGCCTAGTTTTATTACTTATATGAAGTTCAAAATCGTAATTCTCAAATATTATTATGTTTACTAGTCTAAAAAATATTGCTAAAAAAAAATTTCGTTATTGGGTTATGGTTGCATTTCACTATTAGTTCGGTAATAGAATATAAATTTTATTAAAAAAAAATTTACATAATAAGTACAAGCAAAAACATTACTTGAGCTTTTGTGAAAAATCGAGCATACCTGTTTTGAGATAGTTCTTATGAAGAGCTTTTACAAGAACAAATAAATAGGAAAGAAGCGCAATATTCCGTGAATTTTTATAATTAGTTATATAAAGTAAATGAAATTTATATTACACTGATAAAAATCTGATAATAGTAAAATTACTTTTTAACAATTAACCATTTGTCCGATAAAAAACTCGACAAAAACATTTAATTAATTAAAAGAGGATAAGAATAAAATTAATAATGCTTATGATGTTTCTTTAATAACTGATTAACATTATTTACTATTTAGAGTATTTGTGTGAAAGATGAATATAAAATATATATACACAAGATACATTTCGTCTTAAACTTGACAAGAATTTATTGTTACATAAACTACCATTTAGATTCTCCCATTGAACTTGCGTTACGAACCACAGAAGCACGTAAGTACATATGTACTAAAATGTAAATAGAAAATAATCAAAGAAATATTAAAATTACAATGTGGTGTAACTGGAAATTCATTTAAAGATTGACTAAGTTGTAAACCAAAATATAGTATCTGTAATTATTTCTAAATTTATCAAAGTTCACAACCGTCTCTCGTTCATCTTTATATACAAATTTCTTTTTCTGATTATGGATTGTATGTTTTATAGCATTATAATCAGTATAATTAATTTATAAAAAAAAAACTTTTCAACTATAATTACATTACGATGCTAATGTTATATCTATATTCATAAATTGTAGACCAAGCTATTGCGAACAGTATTTTGCCAGATCTAGGCTATGAAATTGAGGATTTCCAATATTATACGTGGCAAATCACAAATTGGTCAAGTTTAGAAAAAAGGATAACAAGTCCTGAATTTGAAGCTGGAGGTTGGAAATGGTAGGTTCGCTTAAATGTATAACTTGAATACAATGTCATGTTATAATTATATTATATTTAAATAATGTAGGCGTATTTTACGCTTTCCTCATGGAAACAATGATGATTCGTATGTTTCGATTTATTTGGAATTTTCAGATCCAATAGATGCACTTGCTGATTTGCACTGCTGTGCACAATTTGGTTTGCTATTATGGAATCCAGAAAACCCAGCGTTCTATGCTTCTCAGAGTATGTATCAAATTTTTGTCGTTTGATAATCCATGCCATTAATATTCTAATTTTAATTATAGATTCGCATCATCGCTTCACTGCCGAAGAACAAGATTGGGGATTTGCGCGGTTCTACGCACAAAATAAGCTGTTTATACCATCTGATAATCAACCTCATCCATTAATAAAAAATAATACCTGTAATATTACGGCCTTGGTTCGCATTATAAAGGACCCAACTGGCGTCTTATGGCATAACTTTAAAAAGTATTCTATCATCTTTTTAAATTATATTACGAATTTATATTTACTTGTTCATTCAAACTTTTTAATATAGTTATGATTCAAAAAAAGTTACTGGATATGTTAACCTAAAAACCCACGGTGCAACAAATTATTTAAATGTTGAGTTGCAATTATTATATAGCATAAAATATTTTCGCAAGGTCAGTGTCTTTAATTAATTTGAAAGCAAATCGTTTTGCATTAAATTTAATGGCATCCTTTTTTTGATTATAGGCGATATATCAAATCCCAACGGAATATGACGAATCAAATAAAAGTATTCCTTTGGCGATACAAAATATTTTTTATAAATTACAAGTATCGAATACATACGTTGAAACAACGGAATTAACAAATTCATTTGGGTGGAATCCATCAGATTGTTATACATCACATGATGTACAGGAGTTTGATAGTGTACTCCTAGATAATTTAGAAGGTAAATTGAAGGTAGGCTTATTATTTATTAAGCCAGGTCATATTTCAAGTCATTAAAATTTTCTCATTATATGACTATCACTTTTGTATGGGTTTAAGGATACAACTGCAGATGGAGTTATTTCTGAACTCTTTGTAGGAAAAATGAAGAGCTATGCTAGGTGTGTCAACATAAATTATGAGAATTCACTTATTGATAATTATTATGGTACTAGTGAAAATATGTAATACATATAATTATAAATTTTAAAATTGGATTAATTAATACATGATTTTATCGTGATAGATATTCAACTTGAAATAAAAGGGTGCAAAACCTTAAATGATTCTTTCCTAAAATATATTCATGAAGAATCTTGTGAAGGAAATAATCAATACCAAACTGGAATCTATGGTTTGCAAGTAAGTTATATTTTTAGCTACAATGAAACTGAATGCAAAAGATTTTGACTCTATTTGTCTATAGGATGCAAAGAAAGGAGTAATTTTTGAAAGTTTTCCACCCGTACTAC